CGACAGCTACCAACGTCATCCCGAAGGGTCAACGCCATGGAGTGGAGCATCATCCTGTAAGTGGCGGTTACCAATTTATAAAGCCTATAAAATTTCCAAAGCCAGTAGGTAATCTAGTTTTGAGAATTTTGAGAGAATTGTTCTCACCGATAGTTGTCTCTAATATCGCGTTGTAGTAGTAATAGTTGTCTCTATTACTCCTTCGTCACCGAGACGTTACGGCACAACAGCTGTATGTGGCCGCGCGTTGTGCTGCAGTAATATCACTTTCCTCTTCCCACTGCCGGTAAAAAGCCTTTTCTCCTTGAGGGCATCGCTCATTTGAATAAGTTGCTGCTGATAACATTCAGCAATGACAGTTTCACCGGATTTGAGCAACTCATAGTAAATGACGCTCTTCTGGTCCCACCAAATACATAAAACCTTTTTCCCATGAATGTATGATTTTGCGATATTGATCGATGGCTCACCCAGATAAACCCAACATTTCCGTTTCTTGGGATTGTCATAAATCATCCACTTTTCATCACACAGGGACAGAGCAGTGTCGCGGCGCCTTTCTTTTCTGGACTGAGCCCAGCGGCCGTCCTTCTGAACTTCCCTTAGCTTATGTAGGCGTTTAGAAACGGTTTATTAGGTTACCTTAAGTACTTCTGCAAGTTCTGATTGTATTTGACAAGGGTTTTCCTCCAACAGTTGTTCGAGTTCTTCATCTTCAACTGTTTTTAGATGTCCAGAGCGTTCTTCGTCCTCGAGATCTAAATTTCCATTTTTAAACTTTTGGAACCACTTTTTGCAGGTACTATAGGATACAGCATCGTCTCCCAAAGCCAAACAAATTATCTTCTATGCCTCTGCGACATTTTTTCTTAGTTGAAACGCGAAAAGAAGGCAGTGACTGAAGTGCTGCTTTTCGAAGGACGGTTATATCGGCAAGAATGTCGCCTATTATAGAGCATTCAAACCACCATAGGGCGGACCAAATTTAAAGTTTGAATAGGTGCTATCGCTGACTAAAGGTTAGTGCCTAGAACGTAGTTGTACACCTAATAGCTATCGGATAAGCGGTGCTAGCAACATATACGTTCGTCAAAATTTTTCACCTAGGGAGCGTACGTGGGCAGCCATTATTGCTGCCACAGTGAATGTGATATAGTTATGGTCAGTAAGCATCGGTAAGTTAGCAGCTATACCAGGAAATATGGACAGTACGAGCGATTACAACTTGTATCAATGCTCTGCTTTCAAAAAGCCAATTAAAAGCCAAGTAGTCTGATGCAAGGCTTATGTGAAGCAGTTTTACCACCCAGGATGTGTGAATAAACAAGTACTTGATAGGAATCATGATTTGGTACCATGAAATGGACCATTTGAGAAATTCAATGCGGAAGAAGAAACTCTGAAGACATCGATGCCGACAGCAGGTGGTAGCAGAGATGGAGTGGCATCAGTGGGATCAATTAGTTGACATGAAAATTGACTGGCTTGATAAAGACAGTGAATGAAATCAAGGATAAAATCGTATGCAAGAACAAAGTCAAGAAGATAATAAAGGAAATAGTTAGTGCAGAAATAGAAGGTCTAAACTAGCAGATAGAAGAATTGAAAACAATGATAGAAGGAGAAGGTATGTGCGCCTCAAGGCAACCTACAGTGAAGCAATGAAAGAAAATAAGAAAGCAATGGTGATTATTGTCAAACCCAAAGTCCAACAGGAGAGTGAAGTCACTAAAAGAGCGAT